CAATCTCTGATCCTCCGGCAAATTATTCCCTTTGCATTGTTGTCATGCTCTGAAGCTGGATGAGGAACAGTATTCCAAATACAGGGTATTTAAACTGGAAGTGATATACCTGAATTAGTGATCCTATGCCTTTGTTGCCTCATGTTCTCTCTAATCCTTATTCTTGCTGCCTACTCAATAAACCTTAGCACTAACAGGCATCACTGAGCTACAAGGAAGTGGAAATGTGTTATAATTTGAACCCAGATCCCACCCCAGATAATTATGAAGGGTATTAGACCAAGGAGTTTGTAGACTCACATTTGTGCCCTAACAAGCAGTAACCGTTTTTGAAATCAGGATCAGTGGGATGCTACTATGCTAAATGTATATTACTAAACCTACTGCATGAAAATGGCAAATGGAATTCCAAGAAAAATGCATCCATTATGAGCACTCTGTGCTTGCTTTACGTTTCCATCATCTTACTAGTGAGCATTTCAGCTAAGGACTGGGCTGGATTCTGTCCTGGGCCCACTAATATTACTCCATAATAAAAAGAGCTAATAGGAGGCTAAAAAGAGGGTTTTTTTAAAAAAAAAATCTAAGCCTTACCCGCATTAGGCAACTGTACAGACTGTGCAGCTGTTTGAAATATGCTCCTCCCTCTCATTTCTTAATTTAAAATACATGCTCTGATGAGTTATCAGTGGGCAGCAGTTAGTCCCCTGTTGAGGCTAATGGGGAATTCACAGCTCTCGGAATGTGGTTTCATGTAGTGCATCAGTTGCACTTGATTCCTATTTGCAGGGCCATCTCAGCAACCCTACCAGCAGGAGATATACATAAGTTTGAAGCTTAGATACTAGAGCAGTGGTGGGAAACCAGCGGTCCCTCACAGTTCAGGGTGTGGTTGTTCACTAGTGCCCCCGTGCATGCTTGCCAGATTCTGCTGGTTTCTGTCCACATAGTTTTCCTATGGGTATTACTAAAGTGATGTGCACATAAAGCAAAGGTATGTGAAATGAAGTGCAGGCTGTTTGCACAGCATTGACTGTGAAAGACACCCATTCTCTCTGCATCCAAAGCACTGCTCCCATTCAGTCTGCGCACACTGCAAATTCTAGATATGCAAGCGCAGGGTAGCTTTGCTTACTATCCCAGGAGACCATCTTAACTATGACAATTTTGTGGCCCACAGCGATGAAATAGGACCATGATGCAGCCCACTTACTAATATAGGCCGTCCAGCCCTGGGCTGGAGAATGAGACGGCATCGAGGAGGGGATGCTGCAGATTGTCCTGGCTCATTCCTTGCCCACACTGGGAGCCAGGGTCCTGACACACAGTTCTGAAATAGCCTTTGTCCTATTGCCCAGCTTCGTGGAGGAGCCAGGGCTGCCGGTCAGGGAGGGGAGTGTCTCTCCCAGACCCCTGCTTGGCACTGACAGGCAAGGTCTCCATGGGCTGGGGTGCTAAAAGCAGCCCTTCCCTCCTGCTCCGTCCCCAGGGACAAAACTAGCCGCTGCTCACTCCACCTTGGCCTGCGCGGGGCGCGTGGCAGCCCAGGGATGTTCCCCGGGGCAGGTGGGACCCGTCGCGGGAGGGCAGCGGCTCTGGCTGAGCGCGGGGAGCAGCTGGCACGGCGGGGCTCAGCAGAGCGCGGCTCCGGGCAGCTTCTGCAGCGCCCCCACCCCCAGCGCGCGGCGGGCTCTGACCAGGGCGCGTGGCCGCTCGGCGCCCCCAGCCTGCAGCACGCGCGGGAGGGGGCGTGACTGGAGCGGGGCGGGTCCCCTCCCGCCGGGGCTGGCTCGGGACCCCGCCCAGCAGCAGCAGCTCCAGCTCCTCTTGGGCTCCGAGCGGAGCGGGCTGGCGCGGCGGGCAGCGGACGCCAGGTGAGCGCGGGCGTGGGCCGAGCCGGCCCCTTGCTCTCCGCACGTAGGGCTGGAGCAGGATTGGCCGGGGGGCTGCGGGGAGCCAAGCGGGGCTGCACCCCCGGCTCGGCGGGGAGCCGCAGAGCAGCCTGCCCCGGTGCAGCGGGGGCCCGGCCGGAGGGCAGTGGGGCAGCGTGCAGCAGCCCTAGGCGCGGGGAGGGGTCTGCCCCGGCTGATGGGCAGCAGCCCCGGCAGGTCTGTGGTGCTGGGTGCAGGTGCAAGCCGGGTGGGGTGGGTGTGCCGGGCCCGTCGCTTCCCGGCTCGGGTCCCGGCAGCATCGGAAGGCAAGAGGCGCCGAGGGAGCAGTCTGAGAACCGCGCAAGCCGGGGCGCCTCTGCTGCCAAGTGCCAAGCCAGCCCTGCTGCGCTTCCCGCGCCGGCTCTGGATGATGGACCTGTTCCCGCGGCATCCAGGGCGTTTTCCACCTTTCTTTCTTTGTCTCCAGTGACATGTTTCATGCCAGCGGCTGGCACATGGAGGACACAGGTGACTGACTTGTATTGCGACAACCTCTCTTCCCGCTCCCAAGAGAGCTGGCAGATCTTGTTCCAGGCAGAAGTTTTCCATCTCTGTCATTTGCTGCTTGCAGCGGGCTGCAAGATGATTACTAATGGACCTCTTGCATTGGTGGGCAGGAGTTCACTAAGGCAGGGTTACAGCTCCCAAGTTGATGCAAGGTTCAGCTTAAGATTTGGCAAGCAGGGTAGCATCATAAAGACAAAGGCCGAGGTTTTCAAACACGGGGTCTGAAGTTAAAGAAACAAATCCATAGTTAGATTCTAAATAAACGATACGATTTTTAGACGTGCTCCTGTTTGTCACAGTGGGAGCTGAGAGGGTTCAGCACCTTTCAAAGTCAGCCCACCTGTTTACTGTCTGAATAATGATGGAGAAGCTGAACTTTTAAGCACCATCTTGAAAATTTTGGCCATAGCATCAGTTCTATGCAAGGTGAACCTATTTGTTGGGAAACAGTATTTGCAAACTACCAGGAATATTTCCATTTCTATTGCAAATACTATAGGATAGCTTAAGAAACCTCCAGCAATTCGGAGACTATATAAAGAAACCAACATTAAAGGTATTTATGCTGTGAGTGCGTGTGACTTGACTTGTTGGTTGGCATGGATATCCTCAGGCTTTTTTTTTTTTAATTTAAACATTTCAGTTTCCTTTATTTTCTTTTTTTAAAATTAACAGAGACATTCGTTCAGAAAGGGGGTTATTGATTATGGTTTCAATTCAGCAAGGTTCTAAGCATATTGTAGTTGTCATTTTGTGCAATTTCAGACACCATAAGCCTAAAGACTGCTAATAATCAGCATCCATTTTTTCTGCCATTCTAGAAATAATGGCGTGTACAGAAGGTAAAAGCACAGAGGTGTAATGCTTACTCTGTCATTTGATTTAGAATTGCACAATGATGTGAGCAATGTGGTGAAGTGATCCCAGGGCATCCTGCTTTAAAATCAGAGCGGGAGAGATTGGAGAACACACCTAATCTTCCCTGGGCTATTTTCTTCAGACAGATCCATTTTCTTGTCTTTCCAGCCCAAAATACAGTGATGTCGACTTGGGGAAAACTAATGATAATTAAGGGCTGCCTGAGTCTTATTTTCAAAGGCAGTATTTGTGTCAGTTACAGATTCCGTACACTGGACTGCAGATAGACTCCATAGCCCACATGGTCTTGAGTAACTTGAATTCATAATAAAATACAATATCAGTGAATTTCTTTCCTTGTATTTTTGTTATTGCATCTCTAAACCAAAGCAGATAATGTTAGATAACTTCTAAATGCAATAATTTACGTTAGTTTTTTTAAAATGTACATACATACAATCGTGTTTTTTTTTAAAGTAGGATAATATAAAAAGAATTTCCTAACATTATCCAAGAAAAGAGGAACCTAGGTAGTCACTAAGAAAGAGAGAGATAATATGCTATAATGTGCATTTGTATCTTTATATTCAGGAATGTTCTGAAGGACTACATACATTTTATAATGAACATGTGTTCTGAGACAGTGGGGTTGCCATGGAATACATGCATATGCTGTAAAAAAAGCTTCCTTCGTACAGTTTGATTTAACTCACAAGCCCTCTTTTTTATATCTTATGTAGCTGCATATTATCATCTTGTGCATTAAGAATAAAAACATCTGATATCTCAACTTAGATTTTCCCTGGGGGAATTGTGAGTGTATATGGGTCAGAGGGGGTAATTGTTTCTCCTGGGGAAAAAAAAAATTCCTTACAAGTGAAATGTAAAATTCCTTTTCTATCTCCATAAAAATTCATATATATACATGCAAGGTTCATGTGGTAGGTCTCCTATGTAACTAGCACAACATTCAAAATATGTTTGCCTTAATCTATTGAAACACAGCTCCCACTGATTGCAAATAGGAATGTTAAAATGTGTTTAAGTAAACATGCAACTGCTGAAAATTTCAGCAGTTATACGGTGTGGCAGTCAGCTCCACAGGAGCTGGTGCATGCGGGAAGCCAGCGTTTAAGCTGGGTGCCCCGCTGCTACCTCCGATAAAGAGGCAGTAGCGTGGGGGAGGAGACAGATGACTCTTGGGGAGCAAGTGTGCACAGGGAGCTGCTTTTAAGCCAGCTCTCTGCATGTACTGGGAGCCTGCATGTAACTATGCAGGTTAAAAAATGAGCCCAGACTCATTGGTTAACCTTGTACATGGTTATACTTTCATATGCCTAATTATGAGGGTGTAGTTGAACATAGAATAGCACACACATGTCTGTAAGGCTACGGAGCTTGGCATTTTAGAAATGAAATTCACACATTTGAAAAATTACCCAGTTCTTTGAAAAATTGTATTTTCATTTACTGCATTTTTTCATCATTTGTTTGTTCTGTTGCAGATATATATGAAGCAATTACAGAGATGAAAGTCTATGCCATATTTTTCAACGTGTGTGGCAAATCTTGCAATATGAATTGAAAGAACGTGAAATGCAGAGAAGGAAAAACAGAAGAACAGCTGACCCTATTACTGGAGGCAAAATAAGGCCACTTGGTGTGTCTTTTTTTTTTTTTTTTTTTAAAACATCAAAATCAATCCCATTGCTCAAAGAAAATGAAGTATTAGAAAGTGGAAGTTGTTGACTGGTGCCTGTCAAACTGAAAATGGTCATTTTTTTATATGATTTATCATCTATTTAAAAAAAGTCAAACCATTGCTGAAATAACATCATATCGAGTATTATTTCAGGTTGGCCATCCCAGAGATGAAACTGAACCTTTCAATAAAGTGCAGGAAAGTGTGTTCTTAAAATCTTTCCAGTAAGTCTTTCTCTTGAGAAAGGAAAGAGAAAATAATAAATCACAGGGGAAATATAAATGCACTGTAACAAGTCCGTCAGAACACTTTTTTTTTTCACATAACACCTCATCTGTTTGCAAAAGCAATTTCATGTTTTTGAATGAAATTTCAACTCACTCTGAGCTTACCTGTAGTTCATTTGTCTGATGGATTAATAGAAAAGCAAAATATTATATGAAGAAGTTAGAAGGCAGGACCACAAATATGGAGAATACAGCTAAAGAAATTCAAATGGAAAACAGAGGGCCCTCAGAAATTCATAGTTCAGCAAAATTGTGTCCTTCAACTGAAGAACAGGCAGAAAAACTCACAATGTTTTGCTTTAAGAAAAGAAAGAAATCCTGTAAGAAGGCATTAGTGATGAAAGGTGACTGTGAAGAAGACTCTGTAACCTTGAAACATACAAGCCAATCCATCAGTGCAGTTCCTGGAGAAGGGGAAACTTCCAATCAAGCTCAGTTGTCAGGAGGAGCTTGGGCAACTATAAAACGTCTAGTGACACCTAGGAGAAGGTCTAAATCTTCAAGGAAGGAGAAGCATTTTGATTCTCAAGTGCACCTGGAGATAAATGCTAAGGATGCTGGCTTGCAAGGTTTTCCAAAGAATCGGGTTGGATCGGGGCTCAAAATTCCCTGCATACGGTTCTCAAGAGGCAAGAAAAAACCCAGCCATTCTGAAATAACAGAGGAATCAGACTGCAGCGTTAAAGCAAATGAAATAACGGGCATTTTGAATAAAGCTAACAACGATCCAGAGGATTTGGCAATAACCATCAAATCAAGCGTGGATCAGTCTGTCAGCCAAGCCTCTGAAAAAAGTGATAGGAACTCACTTAATTCCACTGGTGAGAATGTACTTTTGGTAGAGCCCAGACCAGATGGGGCTCAATCAGAAATAACAAATTCAGAGGGGGTTGCTCTACTCCAGGAAAATATACATCAGAAGAGCATACATGAAACTGAGCAGACAGTTGTTGTGAACAAAGGAATTGAGCTCAATGCCACCCTCTGTACTAATGTTTCTGAGGACTTACCAGATAGCACAGCTGAAGCCACAGACGAACAAGAAACCAATAAGTTCCATGACAAAGAACGTGAATTGAAAGAGTCTGGAAAAAACACACATGCTAGTGAAGACTGTAAATCCAGAGAGAAGAAAATGAGTTTTAATGAGTCAGCATTTAAAGATGATGCTGTCAGCACGCAGGGCTGTTTAACTGAACAATTGAAATTAGAAGAAAATGAGGACACTAATATAGCGGGCATTGTGATTACAGTGACTGAAGCAGATGAGCCTGAGGAAGAGGAGTTGAACTATGACTACAATCTGCCCTCAATTTCATGTGAACATAAGCAAAAGGGAAATAAAAAAACAAGCGGGAACTTCAGTTTCAGTAAACTTTCTAATTGCAAAGAGGGCTCAGTAGCAGGCAGTGGCCCAAAGAGAGAGGCTAAAGTCTGTTCTCCTGCTCTGCCACCCAGAGGTCCTAGTGACCAGGAGCACGGAACTTCAGAACAGCATGAACTGCTTCTGATAGAAACTGCTGCTTCACTCGTTAAGGCGGCGATTCAGTCATCGATAGAACAGCTGGTTAATGAAATGGCTTTGGATCATAGTAAACAGAACAGTTTTCTGTAATGACAAGAAGTCCCCCAAAATATAGTAGGACTCAACAGCAGTAATTTAAACTGATGTTTAGCTGCAAGGTGAAAGGCTAGAAACAGTCTTAACTCCTTAGGTATTTGGGGTTTGTGTGTAGTATTGTTTCTGCATGCTGGGTTTGCCATTGTGTATATGTAAAATGGATCCAAGAATAAGGACTCAGTGTTGACAGACTCAAGGGATTGGACTTTAAAACATTGTGCTTATTGATAGCTGTGGCTATCAAGTTTTAGTGACTGTATTCCCATTTATTTGTCTTTCGCAGTTTGGGGGCTCTGATGTCACTATATATTTTAAATTTGTTCCTATTGTTTATATTTTATTTATTATACAGTATCTGTGAAATGATCCAGAAGTTGCTGAGAACTCTTAGCTCTGATGGGCCTTACCTTGTACTCCTAGTTGTTGGAGTTTTGCCATTGGTTTCAATGGAAACAAGATTAGGCCTATTGGCTTCAGTGCAAGTTAAGCATGCTCAGAACATTGCAGGATTGAGTCCGCATCTCAAGATGCGTATACTGTTTTAAAAAAATACAGTCTCAAGCTGCAATGTCGTTATTGTATAAAATAAGGCAGGTACAGAATGCAGCATGTAATTTGGGCTATTCCACTGGCCCAGAATGTCTTGAGCATTTCAAATGTCATTGAAGACATGGACCAAGCTCTAATGTATCTGCCTCATGGCCATGAGGTTGCCAAGGAAACGGTGACACTTTGCAGAAGGGCCTGCCCTGATCACCAGTCAATGGTAAAACTTCTAGTTACGTTAGTAGTGCAGGTTTGGGCCTAAGCGAGCAAGTTACAGATAAGGTCAGGAGAAGAGACTTTCTTTGTTTTTATAATGTCAGTGGTGATGCCTAACTTTTGCTTTAGTGCACTTTTTAATATATAGCATAAATAGTATGAGCTGCTAGAACACTAGTGGTGCAGTATTGCCTGAGGGTTAAAATAGCAATTCCAGTGGTCCATAAACAGGTCTGTTTTAACTTGAGCATTTTTTTTGTTTACTTACTAGTGCCCTTGAATGCAGCCAGCATTTTTCAATAACTTAGGGTTTTGCCCCCTGCTTCACAGTTCTTCCAAACATCAGCAAACAAATCCATCCCAGCTGTGTGTAACTGCATTATGCCACTGAATTCCAAACTGCAGTTTCATTTGAATACGCTTTCTTTGTCATTGTATTCTGAACTGCTGGGTCCTGCAGCTGTGAGCGGAAATGGCTCAATCCTGCTCGCATTGAAGTAATCAGAAAAACTGTGGACCAGGCCTTTAAAGGCCTACCAGAGCTGAATCCTGAAACAGGTTTGTCATTGGGAGAAAATAGCCAATGCTTTGTTTTGAGTGTTCTTCTATATATGATACAGTATGTGTGTGTGTCATTTGCCCTGTTCATTAACAGCTCTTTAAAAAGTAGCCTTTTGATTGTACTCTGTAAAGAATGAATGTGGGTCATGGGGTTATAATTTGTGCAGCAGCCAAATAAACAACTATATTCTCCTGAGAACTTGCATTATTCTGCATATTTCTGAGCTGATGCAGAAATAGCAACTGCACTTCGCAGTTGTGCATTGATCATATGCAATTTTGAGAATCTCTCTTTCTTTCTGAGAGCAGGATATGGATCCTTTTATAAAATACAAGGGTTGTAGTCTTTCCAAGGAATTAGTGCTCAGTCACGTTTTAACCATTGAAGGTAGAGAATCGGAACCTAGTACACACTCAGTGGCACACCAAGGCATGTTTCTGTGTATTCATATGGGTAGAATTCTGGAAAAAGTCTTAAATCCAGAGGTGTGAATAAATGTTTAAACTTTCTTTTCTATGAGTGTGTTTGATCAACTGTAGACTGGATCAGACTAAAGATGTTAAGTAATGGTTAATTTACTAGTCGAGTAGTTGATGGAATTTCCATCAACTAGTCAATAGGCTAGGAGGAATGCGCAACGCCGCACGTAACCCCAGGCCAGCAGGAAGTCTCGGTGACTCCGGGCTGCATGCGGCATACCAGCTTTGAAACGTACAAGAGTCCTCCAGCAGGGAATCTTGTGCATTTCAAAGCAGCAATGCAGCATGGAGCTCGGGGTCAGCTGGGGACTCCCCAACTGATCCTGGGTTCTGTGGAAATGCCGCGCTGGAGCCCAGGATCAGCTGGTGAGTCCCCAGCTGACTCTGGACTCCATGCGTGGCAGCGCCACACAGCTGATCCTGGGCTCAGCTGTGCGGCACCGTGGCTTTGAAATGCCGAGGCAGAGTTTGAAAGGGACAGTGCCACACAGCTGAGTCGGGTATCAGCTGTGCGGCATTGCCCTTTTGAACACCGTGTTGGCATTTTAAAGCATCAGGGCCGCACAGCCAATCCTGGGCTCAGCTGCCACTTTGAAGTATCCCCTGTTCTCCCCCGCCCCCCCACACACACACTTTGCTGCCTCTATCTGATAGATGCTACAGTGGAAGGAATTGACTAGATAACCTGATTGCCTTCTATGACAAAGTAACTGTCTCTGTGGATATGGGGAAGTCAGTGGACATGATACACCTTGACTCTAGCAAAGCTTTTGATACAGTCTCCTACAGTATTCTTGCCAGCAAGTTAAAGAAGAATGGTTTGGGTAAATAGACTGTAAGGTGGATAGATCATGGGGCTCAACAGGTAGTGATCAATGGCTCAATGTCTGGTTGGTGGTTGGTATCAAGCAGAGCGCCTCAAGGGTCAGTTCTGGGGCCAGTTTTGTTCAACACCTTTATTATTGACCTGGAGAAGGGGATGGATTGCACCCTCAGCAAATTTGCAGATGACACTAAGCTAGAGGGAAATGTAGATCTGCTGCAGGGTAGGGATAGGGTCCAGAATGACCTAGACAAATTGGAGGATTGGGCTAGAAGTAATCTGATGAGGTTCAGCAAGGATAAGTGCAGAGTCCTGCACTTGGGGACAGAAGAATCTCAAGCATTGCTACAAGCTTGGGACCGACTAGCTAAGCAGCAGTTGGGCAGAAAAAGACCTGAGGATTATAGTGGAGGAGAAGCTGGATAGGGTTAACAGTGTGCCCTTGTAGCCAAGAAGACTAACAGCATATTAGGGTGCATTAGTAGGAGTATTGCCAGCAGATCTAGGGAAGTGATTATTCCCCTTTATTTGGTATTGGTGAGTCCACATCAGGAATACTGCATCCAGTTCTGGGCCTCCCATTACAGAAAGGATGTGGACACATTGGAGAGATTCCAGCGGAGGGCAACGAAAATGATTAGGGGCTGGGGCACATGACTTACAAGGAGAGGCTGAGGGATTTGGGCTTATTTAGTCTGCAGCAGAGAAGAGTGAGGGGGTATTTGACAGTAGCTCTCAGTATCTGAAGGGGGGTTCCAGTGGTGATAGATGACAGAACAAGGAGCAGTGGTCTCAAGCTGCAGTAGGGGAAGATCTATGATGGCTATTAGGAAAAACTATTTCACAAGAAGGGCGGTGAAGTACTAGAATGGGTTATTTAGAGAGGTGATGGAATCTCCATCTGTAGAGGTTTTTAAATTCTGGTTTAACAAAGCCCTGGCTGGAATGATTTAGCTGGGAATTGGTCCTGCTTTTAGCAGGGGGTTGGACTCGATGACTTCCTGAGGTTCTTTCAACTCTGATTCTATAATAATTTTAAAATGAAAACTATGAAGGACTTTATGCAACTTTGGAACTCTTGCAGTGTTCTCAGATGCAACGTAAGAACATAAGAATGGCCATACTGGATCAGACCAAAGGCCCATATAGCCCAGTATCCTGTCTTCGGACAGCGGCCATTGCCAGGTGCCCCAGAGGGACTGAACACAACAGGTAATCATCAAGTGATCCCTCCCCATCACCCGTTTCCAGCCTTATACAAATATAGGAAGAGATTTGTTTGAGCTAATGGATTTGCCCTGTATGTCTTCATAAATCTCTGCTGGAAGGACAAAGTCTGCAGCTCCGAATAGTTCTGGAAGGTCTAGTGTCTGTAGCTGGGAAAGAGAATGCTCCGTGCCCGTGACAGATAGTTTACTCCATAGTGGGATAGCTGGTGTGAGTCAACTAGCTCCACTGAGATCAGTTTCAGGTGACTTTGTTGATGTACACCAGTTGAGAAACTGGCCAGTGTAGATATTTAAAAGAAAATTTATACAAAATTTATTATTAGGAAATTAGTGATTAAAAATACACTTTCCCTCCAAGCTAAAGCCTGCCAGTGTTCATTACTGATGTACGGTGAAGGTTTATGTTAGCCATCCTTTTGCTGAGTAGCTGACTTTCCTTTCATTATATTGGATACATGACTACCAAACACTTAAATTAACAATGAATATACTTCTTGTTTTCTTGCATTGTGATTGACTGGGTAGCTATGTAGGAAATTGTGATTTTTTTTTTTTATACTGAAAGACTAACATAAAGATGACCTGTCCAGATATGAATATTTTTAGCTAGTCAGGCATCTGTAGAATGAGTCGAAAAGTTTTGTAGATATTGCTAGAACTTTTGAGAGTATCGAAACAAATGTGTCCTTTTTGCTAAGGTTTGATTACTGCGGGCTAAAGTGTCATCAATTTTTGAATGCGTTAGATGTAATTTGGGTGGTTTCATTTTGACTAATAATTTCACTAGACTGTGTGGGTTTGACATGTTAGGCTGAGTTCCTTTCTGCTGTAAGAAGGTGCAATTCCAGTGAAGTTAGTCAGATTGCACCTGTTTACACAGACTTGCATTTGGCTCTCTGTTCTTATATTTTTTCAGACTTTTTTTTCCTCTCTAACAGTAGCCTAAGATTAATTTGTGTGGCTGGTCAAACAAACCCCCAATACTCTTCTTCCTTTATTTAACATCTGTCACATATGTTCTGTATAGTATATAATAGAAAATGTTTGTAATTTTTCATTGCATCTTTATCACACAATATCACAAAACATAGAACTTGATCAATGTCATTTCTGTCTCAGTCTCTCCCTCCACCCATGAAGGATTATTAGTAGTTAACTAACAGAAAGAATGGGTAGCCTCTTGAATAAAGAAAGGTACATTTGTGTTATAGTTGTGCATATGTAACCAGGCTATGCGCTAATGATTGCATTTTACCATAAGCGTATGATTACCTGGCTATGCAATAGCTAAAACTATGAGATATTGTGTAAAGTTTTTAAAAAGACTTGTTTTCCCACTGATTGTTAAAAGAAACCAGTAAGCTAATTAACTGCTAATGCTTAAGGTTTGACTGTGAACAGGTATGTTAATTCCTCCTCCAGCCATATTGCTTCTGATTCAGGAGGCTGTTGGTCTGCTGTCCATTTCAATTATGGAAGTGGTTTCTGCTTGGCGCTTTTCTGAATGGATGTATTTTTGCCTCTTGTCACTCTGCATTCCAGCCTACTTCTCTGTCCTCTTCTCCTGCCCCCCTTTCTTGCATGAGCCTTGGGGAGACAACTCATCTTGTCCAACAAGTTGCCCAGGGGTACTTCAAGATTTTCAGCATGATATTGCATTTACTTACCGCTTTTTTTAAATACCCTTCCTCCTTTGCGGCTTATATTTAAATGCTTTAGACTAAACTCGTGAAGGGCAACCGAGGCTAGCGAGTGGGCTGCAGGAGTGGCCCTCCTTCATCTCAGCGAGCCTCGAGATTGTCGTAAACAAGACGGTTTCCAGAGATGGTATAGTTTTGCTAACTCTGCTTGTGTGCGTTGAATTTGTGGTGTGTGCCAGTTAAATCATAGAAGAGCTCTAATTGGTTGCAGAGGGAGTGCATGGTGCTCAGTCAATGTGTGCATAAAGACAGGAATTAGATGTGCGGGGAGGGGGTTCTGTAGCACCCATTGGCTTCCAGCCTAGTGCCCAGGGTCCCAGCTACTGCCCTGCATGCTGGGGGCTCTGCTGCTGGCTCTGGGCCCGCAGTCCCAGCTGCTGGCCCTGTGCTGTGTAATGGGTCTGAGTATGTCAGGAAGTCTGACAGCCATTGAGGGGAGGCAGGTAATTTTGTATAGCAGGCACATTTTCCTCTATTCTGGGGTATTACAATTGGCTGCATTCCCACTGAAGATGATGAACTTTCATTCAACTGCCCCCACGCCGCTTCTCCTCTCCACCATCACATTTCTAGCCCATGTGGTTGTAAAGCCAACTCTCAACAGAAGCTGATGCCATGCTGTCAGCCCAAGTCTGCAAGCAGCCCAGACCAAGGGTGAGATCCACAAAGGACCCATTAAAGGGCTAACTTTACACACTTTGTCACCTACTGAAATCTTTAGCCACAAATTAGGCCCCTGGGCTTCCCCATGCATGGGTAGAGCTCAGTGCCTATAGAGGGGACTCTCAGAATCCAGCATAGTTTGTAGGAAACTCCCTAACTTGAGCATTTTCTACTGGCTTAGAGTGGGGTTAGGAACTGTATCATGCTCAGGTGCCTTGTTCTGGAGCGGGGAGGAGGCTTATTTCTGCTTGGGACTCATAGCTGTGAACTCTCCTGAGTTTGGGTACCTATCCCAGGTCTTTCCTTTCTCACAAAAATGG